CCCCCCCCCAATCTATCACAGCCGAGATTATGGTCTGTATAAGCAAACTCAGATCAGATATGGATCAACAGTTGAATGATCTACTTCTCGTAGCTTTACAGTCAAACTTATGCTTGACGGAAACGTCTTACCACACTGACGATATGATTTTCTCTCAGCAGTTCCAGGTTATACGGCGCCTACTCGTAATCTACACCGCCCTGGCGAAAGCTCTTTCTATCGATTGAGTCTATTATCCAACATCTCAGCTTGGATTACGCCGTAAGTGACAAATTGATCACGTCCACGACTGCAAATCACCATTTGACCCTGGTACGACAGATGTTCCCATAACTTGAAGCTTTTGCCAAACATGCAGCCAGTCCTGACTTCTCCGCCAGCGATTGCGACCAGGACGTCTTTGATCATGAACACCCTTGAGGCCCCCTCGCTCCGTCAGATCCACTCTCTTACGCTGTCCAAACAACCAAGAATCAACACCGACTCGCTTAGAGTGACAGCGATATCGATATCGATGCTGCCACTCAAATCGTCAAGTTCCTCGACATCAAAAAGTCCTTAATGATATCAGTACACCTGTTTCAAACAGCCTACTTTTGAATTCAGTACGCAAACGCCCAGCGAGTGTCACGGCCGGTGGGTGAACATCGGCGTGCTAGCGAGCTTCATCTTGGCATATGTATTCTCAAACGCTTCCGGGGGTGATGCGCTCAGGTATCGACGCTCGCTTTCAATGACGCTAACACGAGAATTACAACACGACGGGCGAACTGGACCTCTTAAACTCAGACGCGTCTTTCACGCCACATACACAAACGAAGGGAACCCTTCGGAGCATCGCCAGTGTTGGCACGCTGAAATTCAGCAGATCTTCGCCTATAATCGAGGGCAGCAGGGTTATACAGTTAGACAGTATCTATGAAATACTGCAGAAGTGAGCTATTATGGGCTACTACCACGGATCCACGTTACAATGGCGTGCGCACTCCGTAGACAAGCCGCAGCAGAGCACAGTATCGAGAGTAGTTAGCTCTCTAAACCGCAACATATCAAAATCAAATCTACAGTCCTCTCAGCCTAACGCGAAGCAACCTAGTAGGATTTTTTGTGGATTCGTGTTATGGATTTCGTCGTCCATTGTCTTCGTAGTATATCTCACTTCATATGAATAACGTGACTACATATACGGTTGTTTGAATGTCGTTGCTTTCCGACTGGGTCAGCATTCACTTGTGTTGAGCTTTCGTAAGGCAGCATAAATCATACTCGGCTGATTGAAAAAAAAACTCGCGATTTGAGGCTACTTGCCACAGACGGAGTCTCCAACATAATCTGTCGCACCCAGATACAAATGTCGACGTGTCTGACGAGAATATAAGTACATTATGTAGCTTAATATGCTCGCTTTCGTGGTCTAAATAGCAGTGTCCTTTTCTCGTTACTTGCGTGCTCCATTTCTCGTATACGGCGGAGTAATATCATGATCTGCAGCTGCGACGGCTGCAGACAGCGGATAGATGACTCAATTGAGAGGCCCTCCACGCCGTCAATGCAGAGTCGCATTGTATGTTGCTCCCTCATCGGGGAAGAGACCTCTTTATCTGTGTTATCTTCTTTTATCGCCGATATTCGGCTCATTATCACTCTCTATTCTGAGTAAGTTTTTCTCTTTTTTTCGTGTTGGCAGGTCACTTGTGTCGATAGACTTGTCGGAGGCTGCCCCTCACTGACATTACCAAACACGCCAAAGGCTCCACGCTTGGCGCACATCGGTACAAGGCCATTGAAAAGTCTCTGGCAGCAAATGCATCTTACCGTCGTTTGCCTAAGCATTCACATAAGTACTACCGATAAGCACTCTCCGTTCAATTCTCTTGAGACCAGGAAAAGATGTCTTTAAGTCGTCTACATATTCTATTGAAAGCGGCCAGCATCTCTGTCAATATATGTCCTTAACAGCACTTCTATAGCTGCCCAGCGTTGCAACCTTAAGGCATCTAGTAGGTTCGTTCATCTGTGCCAGTAAAAACTCTTTGATGTGTTTTGGGATAAAGGTATTCATGTCGATATGGCCCTGTAGCCCTCCTTTTCTAACAAAAAAGCCCTGACTGCTTTTGCGATGTTATAGTCCAGGCTTCAATACCACGGAGGTAACTGTGATAGGCTCTTCGTGTTCTTGACGACGTACACGCGCGCCAAAACATTGTCGGTGTTTAGGCCATCTGCTTGGCCAATCGCTGGATTGATGGTATCCATAGAGCTGTTGTTCTCGTCCACGTTGTTCGATGCAAAATTTCGAGCGATATATCGTTTTACTCACTTCTACTCTACACGTACACGCATCACGCCGAACTGGACCGCTCACAGAGGTCCATGGGGAGGAGGCTTGCGCGTCCTGCGATTGCCACGCCTGGTGGCTCACGAGGACGCTGCTTGTCCTCGTCTGCAGACCTCCCCCACAAGCAGCGCACGAGTACGTTTACTCGGCGCTTGAAAGGCTACACAGGCCACATTTGCGAGAGTGCTGTCCGGGAGCGAGAGCATTCGTCAAGAGGTCCGCTGGCATTTCGCCCGTCGGCGTGTAGTGCACAGCTATTTTGCCTTCTTGAAGTAAACCCTTTGCAGACTTGAACTTCACGTCTACAGTCTTAGACTTTTCGCTGAGTCCTTGGCGCTTGAGGCAAGCAATGGCGGGCTGACTATCGATGGCGAGCACGAGTGGCATGTTCTTTTGCATCACTTGCTCCACAATCAGCTGCACCAGCTCTGTATCTTCAATCGCGTTGTCAGCTGCCACATATTCAGCAGCAGTACTAGACTTAGTCACGATACTTTGTTTCTTGCTTGCCCACATCACGGGGCACCCGAAAAGAAAAACCACACACCCGGAGATTGACTTGCGGTCGATTTGGTCGTTAGCCCAGTCTGCGTCGGAGGCTACGGCGATGTTTTCGTTGCAGGACCGCAACGTCAGCTGCATCGTTCGCGTGCCGGACAGGTACCTCATGAGGTATTTGGCTGCATCCCATGTGACCTTCCTGGGCTTGGCATTATGTCTGGCGAGCTGCCCGACGGCGAAGCTTGCATCGGGCCTTGTCACGCGAGCCAAATATAGAAGAGCACCGACAGCTTCGCGGTATGGTATCCTCTTTATCACCACGGCTTCATCTTCGGGAATCTCGTTGTCCATCAGGTCCAGACGAGTACCAGGAACCATAGGCGTTTTCACAGATTGCGCGCCGTCCATCGCAAAGCGATGCAGCACATCGTCCACGTAGAATTTCTGCGACAGCGGCACGATCGACGGGTTTAGACGCTCGACGTGCATGTCGAGGAACTAATCCGGCGTACCCATGTCCGTCACATTGAACTTGACACTTAGTGCGACCATCAGGCGCAGTACTTGTTCCTCATTTTCATGTTCCACTAGAAGATCGTCTACATACAGGCATACCAGAAGCAGTGAGTCGTCAATGTACATGAAATAGAGGCCGGGGTCAGCTTCTGTGGGCACCAGCCCATATTCCTTGAGGAATGCGTCGATTGCTGTGTTCCACTCGCGTCCGGCTTGTCGGAGCGCGTAGCGAGCTTTGCGAAGCCTCCATATCGTACCTTGTTGCTCTGCGGTCCCAAAGCCGGGTACGGGACGCATGTAAATCTCCTCAAGGAGATCGGCCTTGACATAAGCTGCTGGCACATGGGCTTGCCGAACCACTAGACGAAACTTGGCTACAATCACGAAGAAGATGCGTACCGTCGTCAGAGCTGCGACTGGCGCGTATGTATCCAGGAAATTGAGCATGTACTGCTGCCGGTCTCCTCGTGCACACAACCTGGCCTTGAACTGGAGTACTCACCGTTAGCTCCAGTTTTCAATCGAAATTGTAAGGTGTGGTCGAGCACAGACGCGCCGGGAGGCAAATCCTCCCACTCGAACGTGCCGTTTTCGAACAGAGACTTAACCTCCACCTCGATAGCTTGGCACCACTCAACCCACTGAGGCGAACGCTGAGCCTCGCGCAGGTTGAGAGGTTCACAGAGGACCTCCCCCAGAACGTCGGCACCGAGAACTGTCTGAGTAGCGATGCGACGAGACCGGCGATTAGCTGTGGACTGCGACTCGTGAGTGGCCTTGCCGCTATGGTTCTTGGCTTGCTGTTCGTCTTGGTCGTCGCGCTCGTCACCACTGTCGTTAGCGAAGTCATCAGGGTTGTCGTCGTCGACCTCATCTAGCTCGTGATACATTCGGTCGATCAGCTTCGCCCTACGAGCTTCAAAGACCGGGTGGCCTGGCCCTGGCATATAGACTTGATATCCTTTGACCTCATCAGTGCAGCCGACGAATGCACCGAGCTGGCCGCGTGTGTCGGTGAACCGCTGGTACTTAAGTCGGATCTCGTCGGGTACTCGATCAGACAATGCTTGCCCAAAGATCGGCACCTTGCTGACGTCTGGATTTCTCATGAAGATCTTCTCGAATGGACTCAAGGCGTCCCCTCTGCGAGGTATCCTGTTTCGGAGGAATGCCGCGTGCTTCAGCGCATCTCCCCACATCCGATGCAGCAACCCTGAGCCTGTGAGGATGGCAGATGCCATTTCCGTCACGGACCGGGTAGTTCGTTCGGCAACGCCGTTTTGGAATGAACTGTACCGCGTCGTGTGCTCTTGCCACAAACCGTCGCGCTGTACGAGTCGACAAAAGTCCTTGTTGAGGAGCTCTATCCCTCCATCGGTTCTGATGACCTTAATGTCGGTTGCCGGGACTTCGGCTTGCCGATCGATGAGCTTTAGGAACGCGGACTGTTGACATCGCTTCGCTCTTCTTAAGCAGATACACTTGGAGAAAGCCACGCCAAATCACCACCATGAAATATCGGTGGCCGTCACGCGTTTTCGCTAGCGGTCCACTGATGTCGACGTGCACAACACCATCCTGAAACTCATCGCTGCTGGTCCGTTCCGTCGGTGGCGCGTGCTGCAGTGCCTTGGTAAGTGCGCTAACCACACACACACGCACAGCAGGTCTGGCTTCAGGCTTGATGTTCAATCCTCTGATGAATCCTCTGATGATCTTGTTTGCAGCCATCCACTTGAGTATCTTGTAGTTCATGTGCCCCATACGTCGATGCCACGTCTCTAGGTCGCGACCGCACCGCGAACGCAGACACGTTTTCAGCATCACCAGCTGATATCGCCAAACGTTCAGATGAGATCACTGGATACACTCCGTCTTGTACACGCGCAATGCACCCTACGCGCTTGCGATTTCTACGAAACACTGTGCATCCGTGAGGCGAAAATTGCACGTCGTGTCCAGTGCGGAATAGGGTCGAGATTGAAAGTAGAGTCTTGGGGAAGTTAGGCACATGGTAGCCATTTTCAAGTACGAATTATCGCGAGGAGAAGCCGCTTTTACCATCATCTACTATCGCTTGGATCTTCATCCTCCCCTTGGCTCGAGCAACAGCCGTGCGACCGACGGCCACCTTGATCTCGAGCGCTGGGCTCGTACATATGGCCTCGAGGTCTTCCGGTCGGCCCTTCAAGTGGTGAGACGCGCCCGAGTCTAGCAAGACTCGGTGCCACCTGACGCCAGACCCTCACTGGTCATCCTCGTCGTGCTCGCTCTCGTCCTCAGCTTCGACGTTGAGTGCAGTACGCTCTCCAAACTCACCAGTTTTGTTGCCTTGCAAGTAAGCGCGGCAGAAATCAGCGGTATGGCCCGTGGCTCCGCACTCGTAGCACTTGACGAGCTTTTGACATTGGCGTTGGTGTTCTTCGGCTTCTTTTTCCGCTCCACAACTGTTACTTGGGCTTCGGCGGGCCGTTTCTTCGGTTTTTTGGCGTTCTTCGTCGGCGGCTGCGGCGTCTTCTTGCTGGTGGGCTTCGTGAGCTTGCCTTTCGCGATAGACACGGGAGGTGACGCGGTCTTGGTCTTCTTGCGGTCCGGGAGGCGTCCGTCAGTCTCTGCTTTGCGCGCCAACACGGCGATCGCTTTCTTGAGCTCCTCTTTAGGTGTTTCGCCTTCTAGGCTGACCTTCGCCTCTAGGAAGTCAGTGAACTTGGGGTACGCGTTTCGCACAAACGTGACGAGTGCGTGGCGGGAATTAGCGGGAACTGTTTTTCCACCTTCCAACGCATCAGTCATCTGGAGGAGGTGATCCGCAAACTCTTGATATGTCTCATTCCAACGCTCCCGCTCTTTCTTGATGCGCTCAGCAATGTCGACACCGAGCAATACCGGTCGGAATTCGTACATCACCATTCATGTAGGATGCCACGGGGTAGGCGGTTTGCCAGTCACGATACCAGCCATGTAACGGGGTTACACGGGTTTACACCTGGTGTGTTCCACACATGGGTACGGAGTACACGAAGAGTTAACAGACTCTCAGAACATGACTCGTAGAGTTAACGGTGGCCTCAGTACATAGGCTGAGGACCATATGATATACATTTGATTAGGTTTTACTATGCTAGATAGTTAACCACATACATTTACCCCATAGGCGGCTTGCCGCAATAAAAGATAAATAAACAGTTTGGATTTAGAACACAAAGAGTAACCACCTTTTATTAAGGTTGTTGTTTAGTAGGTGGCTTCGGATATTAAGGCTTTTAACCTTTAATAAGGTGTTGAGTTAACCGCCTTCCTCTGACGCTAAACTATGGCAGCCCCGCTGCACTTGGTAGCACTTGTAGTCAATCCTGCGACTGAGACTTTGACTGATCCCTCTGAGAGGATGGAACACGCTGTGTTCGCGAGCTTGCCACCTGACCAGCAAGAGACGCTTAAAAAGCTTATGTCTCTGTTGTGCCCGGAGGGCATTGCTCATCTTGCTTCGCAAGGGCCTGAGGCGGTGTCTGTCGGGCTGGAGGCTTTTGTAAGCTACGAGAAGGCGCTCTTAGAGCATGTTCAAGAACGCGTGAGCGCTACGACGTCCGCCGTGTCGTCGACGCTCGAGTGGTCTAATAGACCGAAGCCGCTCATGTTGAGCGTAGTGACCTTCGA